TTTTTAAAATGCAATTCAGCGCTACAAAGTTTTTCGTTCATCTTTAATATGTCGCATTATGTCATACACACTTCTAATTTGCCAATGCGAAAGTCAGGTAATTACCCGACTTGCATTCAGTTGGAGACGCTCTTTAGTTGCGGCTTCACTTCGCTACAACGTGTAAATATTTTACGTTTTTCCAGACAAAGTCCTATCTGTGTTTTTAGATATTACACAAATTACACGGGAACTATAAGAGACAAGAAAAACTTGTCATTTTATTCGTAAGTGCAATTTTAAAGAAATCAATGTAAATATTATTTAGTGATTAGTTATTTTGACAGTTGCTGACATTGTCGTATCGATCGATCGTATAGAGCGAGATGATGATCTCATGCATAAAGCTGACATACATGTCAGCCTGTATGAAAATATGACGCGCACGAGTATTTCCAGATGTGTGATTTTTTTTGCATTTTCAAAAAGCCATCACGAGCTTGCGTCACGTCCGAATCGTCAGACTTTTGGATCTGAGCTTCGTTTAGGCTCACTTAACATCCCCTCGGAATAACTGACGCGCACAAGTAATTTTTTTTCCCCCATTTTCAATCCATCCGTACGGCTAGTCCCACCATGCAAACCGGCACATTAACATTATTCCGTCATCAGAGACACAAGGGTCACATACAATATCAATATCTGCCGCGCTCGAGTATTTCCATATGACTATTTGTTTTTACATTTTTGAAATCTTCTAGACGCTTGTTCCACCGGTGAAAGGGTATGCATCATATAACCTTTTTTCTTTCTACCATCTGCTCTTCAAAATTCAATAGGTCTCCACGACGCTCGAGTAAATCCCCATTTAGCATCGTGGACTCCCCTACTATTGTAGTGTACCTGTCAATAAATGTTACAAGAAAACTAGTCTTATTAGTTTTCTCAACATCACCTATAGCTGATTTCTCTACAAAAGTTCGGTTCAAATTGGCTAATCTGATTATCTGATGAACCAAAAGAATGACGACGTCATATAGCTTACCACTTCGCTACGGACGGAAGTCGTCAACATACATTATGCCATAATTATTATTTAATTATAATGTTCCGGCCGTATCCGAGTGGTTGTCAGTAACACAAGCGGCTAATTAATACGATATTAATTATGATATACACCGCCCGGCTCCCTTGCACCCCTAGTAAAATAAAGTGTTATATACGGGCTGCTGCCGTCAAACCCTGCTACTATACATATAATAGTTAATATATAGGAATTTGAATTAGAATAACGGTTGTACTTATTTAATTTTTATCCGCACAACGGACGTAGCGCATCATCTTTACGCTTTATTGGTGGCCCATAGCGATAATGTTTAATAAAATATCTAATCATTTTAATATTGGATGGATATTATGAGCAATATATAAATCATGTAATCACGTTATTTTAAAATCCCTTTGCTTTCCACTACCGTGAAATCATAATATATTTTGAAAATTTTCTGGTACTTCAACTCCACAGAATAATAATTCCTACAATTATTCTGTCAAAACAAAGTGTAAAAAACACGCTTAAAGAGTTTTTGCAATATTATCACGTGTAATCAAGCCATGTAACAGTTGAAAACTTCGTTTACGATCGTGGAGTAAGATTAGGTAGGTCCCCAGAGCAGAGGGTGGTAGGTTATATATTAACACTGATATTTATATAAGAGGCTTCTTATATGTTACTATGCGGAGCTTATTCCTAATATGAATGCGACTATATCTTATATAAGCAAAATGAATTTAGTAACTAAATGAATAAATATATGCAAATTTTCGGATTCAATGGTTGTTTTGATTGGATGTTTGATATTTATTTTACTCTCGATTCGACTCCTACTGCTCGCATTTGTGGGTGAATATTTAGTTTAATACGAAGTGGTTTTGAATAAATATTTCGTTTCGAATTGAAAACAATAGTTTTCATTACTTACTAAATAGCTTTAATTAAATAATTAAAGCTTACTAGCGGATGATGTATGATGCCCGTGACTTCGAGCTTTACTATATTGTTTATCGCCTACTGCATAGCTTGCTAGTTTTATTATCCTCTCAAAAATGCCCTATTTCCGTGTTCGTTATTCTATATACATATCTCTCCTTTTATGTCTCAACCAACATGTACAAAATTATTAAATCGATTTATGTGACTATCACACATCCGAATAATCTTTAATTATCTGTCTATTTGTGATTTATATGGAATCACGATATGACAAAATGGCTTTATATGTTGGCTTTTCTTGGGCATTTATTTATAAGGGATAAGTTGGAAATATTCAACTTTACTCACGAGGGAGGAAGGAAACATGGAATACTTCTCAGGAGCGCATCGTGCCGCGTACGTGACTTGCGTATGGTTAATTCGACTGTGCAACATACAGTACAATCTGACACTTAATCCTCTACAGATACAGCTTAAAATACACAATCTTGTACTCATTTAAAACTGATGCGTACTGTTATCATGAACCAATGATTTGATGGAACTAATCAACGTGAACTGAACCATTATGGCTCCTGCCGATGTTTGATTCGCTGGGACCGCTCGTTCGCGTGGTATTGATTGAAATAGTTAACATAACTCAATGGAGTCAGTCGCTCTCGCTCGGTATTTAAACGGTTGATTTAATCCATAAGCCGTAACGAGCTCTTTTCATTTCTACTCAATATTTACATCACTGTTATGAAAACCAACATCTATTATGCTAAGAGCATTGTAGATGATCCGAGCTATTATGTAATGTTTTGGTATGTGAATCTTATGAGTATTATTCTTAACTCGACTGTTCCTTTTTATTAATTTGTGCTCATATAAAGAGAGGAGCTCGATGGCGCAGGTGGTTAGCGCGTTTGGCTGCGATCGTTGTAGTTAAGCAACTTTCGCAGTGGTCAGTCATTGGATGGGTGGCCACAAATTTATATCCCGAGTTCCTCCGTGCTTCGGAAGGCACGTTAAGCTGTTGGTCCCGGTTGCATCTGCAATCGTTAGCACCCGCCAATCCGCACTGGGCCCGCGTGGTGGGTCATGGCCCAATCTCCCTATTTCATCCATAGGGAAGGCCTGTGCCCCAGCAGTGGGGACATAAAAGAGGCTGATGATGATATAAAGGGTGGAAAACAAGCATGTGACCCGCTTGTTAGGAATCGTCAGCCTTAGCCTTAGTTCGTGTTTGGGTTACTGGTATCTCTAGTAAAAAAAAGCACTTATTAAAAAAGCTTATTACAAAGTGTCTGATTATATTACAGACAAAAATGCTTGGGTTTGAATTGTTCCAATCATTCCGACAGGTTTTCTATATTAAATAAATCATAATTGTATTGGCGTTGTAACAACATAATGATTTATGAATGTTGTTACATTAGACTTTTACTGTTGTACAGTTTTTTCGCTCGTTTTTCTCCGCAGCTAAAAAATATGTCCATAACGAATGCCAGTGAAAAAAAATATGGACGATTCAAAAGAGTTGTACTATACATACAATTTGAATAAAGATATATTGATTTCTGATTTCTGAGTGTGCATAGACACTAGCGATACCAGTACCCTAAATACGAACTTTAACGATAAACAAACCGGACTAAGAACAAACTGACTATTTCCATATACTTTGTCTTGGCGATACGGTTCGCTAGTTCTCCGTGCTTGGGGTAATGATACTGAGTGTCACTCGCTCGTTGTCTACCCTAACCCCATTCTTTAACCGTAGAACCCTGGAAACTTACTCATTTATCAGACTCATGATAGAAACAGCACCACCATAATGTAGTGTTATTTTACTGTGGATTTCTTTACGGTGGAGGTTCGAGTACAAGGACAAATTCGAGAAGACTACGTCCTACCTCTTTTAAAATCGCTATTTTGTGATTAGTTTATATTTACGATAAATTAATCCAGCACGAATAGGGTTTTCGGGCCCCTACCGGACTAAGAACAAACTGGCTATAGCCATAGAGACGTTGACTTGGCGATACGGATCGCTAGTTCTCCGTGCTTGGGGTAATGATACTCAGTGTCACTCGTTCGTTGTCTACCCTAGCACCATTCTTTACCGTAGAACCCTCCATTCTTTACCGTAGAACCCTGGAAACTTACTCATTTATCAGACTCATGATAGAAACAGCACCATCATAATGTAGTGTTATTTTACTGTGGATTTCTTTACGGTGGACTACGTCCTACCTCTTTTAAAATCGCTATTTTGTGATTAGTTTATATTTACGATATACTACGGTAAATTAATCCAGCACGAAAAGCGTTTTCGGGCCACAATATGCCGGTGGTGTAGTTAATCCTTTGGAAAAAAGTTGAGTTATGAATGCACGCAAACTCACACCCAAGCTAATAATCAAATTTGAAATTTAATCTTGTTTCTATCTTAAAACTCCTTCGATAGAAGTTAAGATGGACATTGCAAGGACGGTAAACTCACACACACTTTACATCTCATCAATCATACAAAAGTTCGTGGTTTGATTCTGAATTATGGAATTTTATTGTTGCATTCTCCTCCTTAATATCCAGGATAGCGATTGTTTTCCCCTGTATCTCGATGTTTCAGAATTGATCTAATCTGGGTATTGTATCAGAGCATCGTCTTTTAATTTACTCCTTTCTATTATATTTGGTTGGCAATGACAATGCAAAATGGGATATAATCCTGCTCAGTTCATGTTCTATATAATGTAATTAAATTTGAATAAAGGCTTTGCTATTAAATGATAAAAGAAAGATTTATAGCGCGATACAAATCGTATGGAATTAACATGATTTCAAATAGCAAAGCCATCTTCAAAATATATAAATAAATTTTACAGGTCATACTTGCCAGTATAATTAGTATTGATACAATATATTAACATAGTTACAGAATAATTGTATGATAGCTGAATAAATAAAAATAATAGTCGGATAAATTTTGCTCATAATAAAAGAATTAGATTAAAAGATAGATGTATAATTACCGAATAATATATTACAAATTATTTTTTTTGGTATTCAATGGCGATACCACATTTGAATCACCTTCATTCGTTTGACCTTCTTCTGCAGTTGCAGCATGGCGTACAAAAGCGCTTCCGCTGTCGGCGGGCATCCGGGCACGTAAATATCCACCTGAAGTGAGAAGATTAGTAATTTTAGACGTTATTTGTGACATAATTCCTAGCACTTATATTCTTTGTTGGGTTGGCAGGGCATCAAAGATGCAGCTTGAACTTTACTTGCTTAGCCACACCCCAATGAAACTTCATTACTCATCATTGGTCTTTCTTCGCTCGTTCTTGGGTCTCCAGCTGCATACAATTGTGACAGTCTGTCGGTTGCCTACAATAGTTTCCTCACATCCAATCTCTGTTGATTCAATTAACTGCAGTGGAAAACTAGAAGCTAGCATATTCTAAACTTTTATTCATACAGATCGAGGAGCTCGATGGCGCAAGTGGTTAGCGCCTTCGGCTGCGATCGTTGAAGTTGAGCAACTTTCGCAGTGGTCGATCATTGGACGGGTGCCCAAAAATTTATTAATCTCGAGCTCCTTCTTGCTTTGGAAGCAAGGTTAAGACGTAGGTCCCGGCTGCAACTGCAGGCGTTACCACCCACCAATCCGCACTGGGCTCGCGTGGTGTGTCATGGCCCAATCTCCCTATTCCGTCCATAAAGAGGGCCTGTGCCCCAGCAGTGAGGATATTAATAGGCTGATGATGATAGTTCATACAGATCTAACCGGCACAATCCTATCGCAGCCTCGAACCGTGGAGTACGTGTAGTGGTAGTAGCCACCGCCGTTGGCGCAGCTGCCCATGGACACCACCCACTTGGGCTCGGGCATCATGTCGTAGGTCTTGCGGAACGCGGGCGCCATCTTGTTGGTCACCGTGCCTGCGACTATGATGACGTCGGTCTGCCGCGGAGTGCCGCGGAACACCATCCCGAACCGATCCATGTCGTACCTGTGCGTTTAGAGATGTCATCATCAGTTCTTGTAGTCTACACTGCGGTGGCTCAAGCCCTTTCTAGGTAAAAATAACATAATTCAAAGGCTTAGTGATAATAGACAGTAGTCTACTACCCGGACTACGAATCAGGATCAAAGCGTTGCAGTCGGACACAACACAACAAAGTAACATATCTTAGCAAAAGTTTCTTAACATACTCATTCCCTCATTTATTTAAAGTAACTAATTAAATTGTACTATTAAATTAACATAATAAAACGGTCTTTTGAATAACTCAACCAAGAAAAACAAGAAACACAACAACAAAGTTAGTTGTGTAGTTAGACGAAGATAATTGTACTTGAAAAAAATAATTAAAAATTAACAGTTTAATGGTTAAAAGCAAAAATAATAATCACAAAATTATACTACGTTTGCACATAGCCACAATGCCACATTCGATTACATTTTGTGGCGATTTGTAAGTCAATATCCTATCTTATTTATGATAATATGAGAAACTGTCTAATCTGACCTTTGGATGAATAATACACCAGCAATCGGCATAAACATTTTCTAACACTATATTCAGCATCAGTCGAGATTTATTTATTTATTGTTTGGTAATAAAACTGACTGATTCGTTGCCAGGGGGCCATTCGCCTAACGGGATTGCTTTGGAAAACGCTATGGCTTACGATTTCATTTTGTTATATCTGACCGTCGAAGGTTTTCAAATACCTCATTTTCTTTAATATTGTTATTTCCAATGCAAAAGAAAAAAAAGAGCGCCAGGCATTTGAACACCTCAGGTGGCTAGAAATAACAAAATGAAATCGTAAGCGATAGCGTTACCCAAAGCAATCGCGTTAGGCGAATGGCCCCAGGTCACAAACACAATGTTTCAAAAGCTGTCCCCTGCTCTAGACTTACATATAGTAAATATGTACAGGAAAGTTAATAACCAGCACCGTTGTATTTTTGCTTACACGCAAAACCAAATCACACATATTAATTACACTATGACTGACTATAGCTTTCCTGTTATACCGAGATGGAAGGACATAATCAATAAAAGCGCCATAACACTATAATTTAAATAATATATCTGTTTTACAAGATATTTATGAGAAGGTTACGAAGGAGTTAAAGTTCTTGACTTTAACGCTTAAGCGCTTAGAACAAAATATTCCCCAACTCCAAATATTCATTACTTCTAAAACGTATCTTAGCACTCTTAGCAGAATAGATTATGTTCTAAAGTTTAAATGAAAATTTCCGTGTTACTCAGAAGTTAGTTGAAATATTTAATTCAACTTTCCAAGTCTCCATCTTTAGTCTACCAAGAATTAGGGCAAAATACTTGCAGCTGAAACTCAAAAGTGATGTTAGAAAATTTTCCTTACTAAAACTTCAAATTTATAGACTTCTTTCTAACATTCTCGTTACTAAACTTGAGGAAATTCTGAATAAAACCTTTCAACAAGTGGCATTTATTAAATGCCATGTTGGTTGACCTTTGTGTCAAATCTCAAAGCGATATCTGAACAAAAGCTTTTCTTAAGAAAGATCAATATATATTAACTTATTATTGCAGGTGGAGTTAAGAGGCTAGCTCATTTAGACTGATAAATTATCTCCGATAATGCAGGCTAGAATTCTACCATATAAAAAGAAAAGGAATTGTAGTAAGGTGTAGATGGCACTAGCATACTCATTCAATGCGTGAGATGTAAAGGTATTTTGCCAACAAATCTCAAAGGGTCCATTGATTAACTTCCTTACCGACTCTCGAGAAAACTCATCAATTTGTTAAATCCACGGCAGTTATCACTTATCAGCCAGCGTCTCCTAAAATTTATTACTCGTTTAATTAAATGTGTAAAACCATTTCGCTAAGCCGTGTTATTCTCGTAAATCACCCCTCCCGTCTTGTGGAAATAGAGATATTTTTCCAATGCATTTATTTCATTTTTGCTGCTACTAATACTTATTCCGCATCTAATTTGAAGATTGTCGAAATTGATTGATATTTATAAAGAAAAAAAACATCTTGCATATGCTTTGCAATTTAGGAAAAGGGATTAAATAAATTATCGCTTTCGTAATAAAACGTAATAATATGATTTATGATGGGTGTATTTAATTCAAGTACTTGATTTATGGACAGTGCATTCTCAAGATGCTAATGGCGTAATCCGTGTTTGGCAAACATATTTGATTTGGTTAATAGTCTTAAATCTTTAAAATTATATCTGCATATTCCTAACTTTCATACATGGTACATTAAGAGCAGCTTAATTGATGGACATCAAAACTTTAGCACCGGTTCTATCTAACAGTCATGCTCACTAACCATTCGTCACCTTCATCAAAGTCTTACATAATATTAATTTACATTTCAACTCACTCATTCACACTTCCACTTTTATTAGTGCTATAATTAAAAATTATGGTTTTCTCATCTTTTACTGTTGATTTTTAAAATCGATGGCTCTGATTTTCGACTTTCACAAGAGCTTTAGGTACGCAATATTTTTATTTTAAGCATTTAACTACTAGATGTTTAAACCTAAAGATCTGTCTTGTAACTTACAAAATACTAGAGGAAATTAGACATGGTCATTATTTTTTCGGGAGCAAAATTGGTTAGTGCGTCTGCCCGGATAGCGGAAGTTGCGGATTCGAATCGCGTCTGCCTTCTGAAACCTGAACCGAGTGGAGTTTTTTCTAGTAAATTTTCTTCAGGTTTAAACAATATCTTTGTTTGAATTATGATAACCTGGGAGCAGCGTAGTGCATCATCTCTAGAGCGCAGCATGCCAGGCCAAATGTTAGCGGCCATAGGGAACACCTTCGGCCCCAATTCAGGATATCATCAGCACGAGCCACCACCCACTCCGCTTTGGACTGAAAAAAATAATAATTATTGGGCTGCCTGATCTGATTTATGTAAGTAACTAGGATGCGTAGGTTACAAATTTAAATTGTTAACATTGAATTATTATGCCGCAAATAAAGAACATCTATTAAAATTACGTTTTTGTTTTGATATGAAAATAGAATATGTAAACAAGTATTATGGTTCCTTATGATATTAGGGATCATTAATTGCGTTACGATATCCAATATAGCTTGCGCATTACCTGTTCTGATTCCAGAAGTTAATTTATTTAGGCTACAAAAATTAGCTTTTGTGTTTCAATTGGTTCAGTGGTTTATGCCCGGGTTTCACGAGGCTAGTTTCTTAAACTAGGATAGCAAGCTAGTGACAGTAAGCTAGCAAGCTAGCTAGAAATACTGCCCTCGTGTAGCCCGGACATATAATAAACATACAAGTAGACGTCCGTTAAATAGATTTCTACTATCGTCTTTCTACGGGGATACTTGACAGATACATCTTTCAATTTTATTACTTCTACTCCCAGTCTATCAGGAGTCTTCCAAAAGTTATATAAAGCTTCGTGTTTCTTAAAGAAGAGAGTGCATTAGTACTTTATTAGTCCCCAGATCGTTGGTAATCTATCTTCTTTAAAACTTGTTGATAGAAGACTTCCAACACTTGTTAAAATATCTTTACTCGATAAATATTCATTGGGGATTATACCTACTACGTTGTTTGTTGTTTGCCAAACAACGGGAAGCCTTTGAACAGAGTTACTGGCATGCCGCTGGCTGCGGCGTCGTAACTTACAAATCGGCTTTGTAGTTTTCGCTTGTACATGTTCAAATATTCATATATCTCAGGACGCTCTTACAAAGTATTAAGTAAAGATAAGTAGAGCTTATATTATGTGAACATACATTGCAAAACAATGAATAAACTTAACCTTTTTATTTTATTGGTCGATCAGTAATGTGATACCTATTATTATCAGAGCATGCAGACGGGTTTTTACTATCTGTTCTTCTATTTTTATTCACTAATATAACATAGCGTCCGGATACCGGAAAGCGCAGGTTCCAAATTTTTTTTGATACTTGAACCTAGTGTGTTTTTGTAGTAAAACACTAGATTTTCAAATCTAGTAGTAGCTTTAAATCCTAATATAATAGGACAGGAAACTCAATACTTCTCATCATTCGAAATAGCAATAGATTTAAAAGCTTTTGTGTGACTAAATTTAGATTACACCCCGTTTTTCATGACATTATAACATATGTATTTACCCTATCTACGTTATGAGAACTACACCACAATCCGTTAACGTAGTTAGAAGCACTGAGCGAAATTAGCAGAGCCGCATTAATTGCATCATACTATTTACAGACGGGATATTATTGTAATTGCGACTGAGAGAGACCGAGAGAGTAATTACTGTGCTTTCAGGCTCCATCTAGAATTCCATTAGCGAGAAAGCTAGATCACACGAAACCAAACCCTTAGTAGATATCTTATCTGCGGCAATTCATTTAGCCTTGTGTTTCGCGTAGATTTCTTTTGGTAATTTTTCTTCCTCCTGTTTTCCTTCTCGCTCTCCCGTTTCACAGCTATTTAATCAAACCGATATATATAGATATATTGAATTTAAGAATCTATTCGTCAATATTATGGAAAATTAAAAGTATTAAAACAGAATTCAGCATTGCTTCTTATGAATACGATTTACTAATTAATTTTAATTTCGTCCACAGCTAGTTAATAATCTAACAGCTGTTTTTTCCAGCACTTCGTGACGAAAACTAGCACAAAAAGCAACAGGTTGCCATGACTAGATAATGTAAGTTACTCGTATAGGCAATTAGGTACTTGCCGTAAAGCAATGCCGAATAGCACTTACGCGAAATTAATCCCTAATCGCCTGTTTCCCTATTTGTTAGTTCGATTACCCTTTGTTGAGATAAGGAGTAACTTGTGCTCTTTCGATAGAATTACAAAAACGGACGGACACAGCATTCCCCTCATCCCTCAGAAAGTACCGATACGGGTCAAATGCAAGAAGTTTTGTTATAATATACACAGTCAGGTCATAAGTATCGTCACACAGTAAAAACTTTTTTTTAAGAATGCTGGCCACAAAAAAGTTTATTGAATTCGAATTTCGGGTGCTGTATACGTCGCCTGCGTCGGTACCTATTGCTCTGTCCTGTAGTACCTGCTGAATAAGCTGATTTATTGTACTCACTTTTACGAAACACAGTTCATAGCGTTATAAACTAAGGGTTTGCGTAAGATTATCCCGATCCCGAACCTAGACATTAGGCTTACACGTTCTCCACGCCCCCTTATGTAATTCAATAGGAAGAAGTTGTAACAAAGGGTTGTCACTAGTAAATTAAACATCAACCCCCTTATTAATAAACGAGGAATAAACTTAAGACTAGCTATGCTATGTTTTGTTCATATCACTGAAATGCCATTTGTCATTCAATGAACAGAGACAGAACAACTTACCCAAGCTTAGTCCTTGTTCAGTAATAAGGGGGTAAATGTTACATTAAAACTTCTCCAATACAAAACAAGGTTTTTTTTAATTCTTTATTGTGTATTTATAGCGTTTTCATTATATCCATGTCGTTTTTGAGTTTCTAATTGTATTCATACTATAATCGAATTCTATCGTCCGTTAGTTTAGTTGGGGTATCTATTGTTCTTCGTAAGTATAAAAATATGAGTGTCTATGTATTAATTAAATACAATATAATATTATTTTGTCGCGACAAACTGTTCAACACATGAAACTTGTGCAATCGAGAGATTTTTTGAAGTATTGTTATAACCTATAGTTATTAGATATGATGGTGTCATTATGAACCAGACGTAAAGATACTTAAATAAGATATAAAATACGTTTCCTATACTAATACTATTCAAAGAATCTCCAGATCCTTGAAATTATCCTCGCTAGACTTAAGTAGTGAGTACGGCTAAGGATTAAGTAACTTGCAGAAATGGTTAATGAGAAAATTTCTTCACAACCCTACGATAGGCAAAAGAAAAGGTATTTGCAACGGGTCACAAGCAAGGTAGCCCTGCGATTTGTTTCTTTCAGAGTGTTAAATCCGGGATTTATTCTTCATGGCTCGCTTTGTTATTTAAGATTGCTTACGGTAAGAAACCTTCCTTCGGACTTAGATACTCACGCTTCATTTCAATTCACGAAAGTGCTAATTCTAGCTACAGTTAATAGGACCTCATATAAGATTTTATTTTGATGTCGAAAATATTTTCGTTTTATCTTAATCATATTAAGAGTAAGTAAAACAAACAAACAAACAAAAAGAAATTTCTTCTAAGCTGAAATATGTTTGAAATGTAAGCGAGAAGATTTTATTCCTGCTACTATAACATCATGCTAAGTTATTCCTTGCTATTTTATATAGTGATAATGATAACCCAATTTGCGCCGGTTTGGCTACCATTGAGGTTTTAGTTCAGTAACATAAACATTATTTCATATTTAGCAGGGTAGAGCATCGTTAGGATAGACATTGTTATATAATAAAAACTAAAGCTGCATAGCTACTCAATTCTTTGACAATGTCCATTTCAATATTCACTACGTTCTTTCAATATAAATCATTTCTCGAGGACAAAGTCCGTGTTGTTTCAAATTTGTCTTCTTAGGTATTTCTCTCAATTAGCTTTTATTTATTTATTTACTTAATTTTTCTCTTTTTAATTACACATAGATGTAAATTCTGACATGATTCTCTAATCTTAAAACTAAATTTAACAGCAGTCTCACTTTTTTATTCTGTATAGATAATGAGAAGGATAGCACTGTTGTCAAATTTAAGTTTAGGTTTAGAGAATCATGCCAGAATCGACACCATTGTGAGTGACTCCCTTTTTTAATCTTCCTCCCAAAGTTTGTTTATCTCAGCTAGAAGATACAAACCGCTTAATAGGCGACGTTATCATCAGTTTGTCAAACTATTTTATGTGTGAATTACAACGATATTAATAACTTTGTTGAATTATTTTTAAGAATGAGTCTTAGTAACAAAGTAAAACTTAAAATTAAATAGATATTGTTTAAGAATCAACCGTTTATTAAAATAGTATTTAAGTCATTTGCAAACAAAAATATATTGTTGAACGAAAACTTATCTTCTTAAATAGAATAGTTATAGGAATAGAATTAGAACATAATCAATTTGATCAGGAATATAATTCCGAAGAAATCGTTTACCTGACCAGGGTAATGGAAGGGGGAGTACTTCCTGACCTCCCCCGGCTTATGGTACTTGTTACCGTGGGGCGGGACCCGGGGTCGCTTCCTGGACTCACTGCTGGCATTCCTTGTACCTTCACTGCGTGTGTTATTGAATAAGGTTCCGATGTAACACGGTGCGAGGTTGTGAGAGACTCCATACTTGGTCTGACTTAGAGTATTGAACGCCCTTTGGTTATTTCTGTAAAATATATAAACTATATATGCAACTACAATATTGAGACCTTTTTTAGTTAGGTACTGTAAAATACTTTGAGAGTACCTTCTAATAAGATAGGATCGGTTGAAAAGGTCATAATCATAAGTAATGTTTTTCCTGCTATTTTAAATAGTTTTGTAATCGAACTACCTATATACAACTGTAAATTACCTGTAAACGATATCTAAGATGGCGTTTCCTGAAAAACGTATCATATTTTTATGCTAATAAATTACAATTAATTCTACAGACAGGTCTATAAATTTTCAGTAAAATCCGCCTAACTTTGTTTTGACAAGAGATGTCTATTTTTCAGTTTTCTTGAATATTTTTTCTACCGAAATCGATGGTAAATTATTGGCGTTGATATGTTCGGAATGCTAAATGAGGTCGTATTTTTTTCACCCAAAAAGGTCGGTCGGTACAGACAATTTATCAACGTCGTCGGTCGGTCGATTTCACAATGTACTTTACTATTAAAGTATGTATTTAATTAAACTATTAGAGAGTTTGTGTTTGTAAATATTGTTTTCTTTTATGCATAAATGTTCTTAGTATATTTTCTAATATATAAAATTCTCGTGTCACGGTGTGCGTAATTGAACTACTACGAAACGGTTCGACCGATTTTCGTGAAATTTTATATGCATATTCAGTACAGCTGAGAGTCGGACAATATCTATTTTTCATTCCCCTAAATGTTAAGGGTGGTCCACCCTAAAAATTTTTTTTTTACAATTTTTATTGTTTTTATTTTTTTGTGATACATCATATAAAAATACATACAATCCTAAATTTTCACCCTTCTTCCACCAACCCCTATTTTTTAAGGCGGGAGGAAGTTTTAAATTGATATGAAATAATAGAAAGTTTCAAATCTGTTCAGTCAGTTTTGGATAATTTGATCTGTGGCTGTCTGTACTGTGAGTTAAAATTACTGAAGGCTTTATAAAACCTTAACAAAATAAGTGTTCCTAAAAACAGTACCAAAGGAGAGATTTCCAGCGAATCTCCTTTCTAAAAAGAATATCGGAAACCTCGTTAAAAATATTAACTTTAATAATTGCCAGCGGGGCTTTATGTTAAATAGATTCTATCCTCGTATTTTTGTTCTTCGTTTATTTATTACTTCGACTGCCGTCTGTACTTCATTCCAGATAACATAAAAATTTATATTATTATTATATCTATTTGTGTGACTTTCTACAAACTTTGGAACTATGTCAAATTATACAACAAAATAAAAATATTATTTACAACATAAACTACTCTTATGAAGTACAAGCAAAACTTATTTGTAGATTAATTTTCAATTAATCTCTCTCTTCACCAGATGAGGATACCGCAGAGGTTTACGATTCCGCTATATTAATCAAAAATTGCTCCAGCATATTATCGATGACATTATCCAACTTACAAAATCTATCTTCTTCTTTTTTTCTTGGTATAGACTGAAATACATAAAGACACAGACGTAAAATATATTGAGGTTAATAAATTATTAATTAAAATGTACCTGTGGCTTCTGCTGTTTTTTGTGAAATTTCTGTTTTCTATACTGCTGAATGCGGCCATAGGGGTCCAAGTTTCTTTCATATTCTATTTGTAAATATTAAGAATAATGTTTTTATCTAATGCGCGAAGCAAGGTTCCCGTTGTCGTACTACCCCCACACCCTTTACCCCAAAGGCGAAGACTCAGCTAAGCGGTCTACCTTATAGATCAGTCAGTCCCACAAAAATTCAGTCATAGTTATTCTTGTCTGTTCTGTTGATCGAAGAACCGTCTATAGCTGCCACTTTTTTATGACTATTGTTGTGTTTGTTTACCATATAAACGAGAATTATTATAATGAAAGTGAAAATAACAAAAAGCGTGGTACCTAATCATTTACATCCATAATGTTAAATTTCCAATTAGGATACCAAATACCAAAGATGTTACATTTACCAAAGATGTTTATATAAATATGTTACTGAATAACAGAAAATTAGGTATCTTATTATTTATATTAGCTATCCTAGTCGTGTCGTGTGTACCGAATACGCTGGAAAATAGAATAAAGTTTTTCCCAAGGCGTATAATAAAATTGGGGATACACCCGATTGTCAGTGGACGCGTATAACTTTCATTATAGGGACGTCGGCACATTGTGTGTTGCGAAAAAGTTGTTTAATCAAAATACTGTCTTTGTGCGTCTCGCCCCTTTTGATGATGGAAATGAGAAGAATTGGTATACACAATATCGGTCGGTCCCATATTCACTATATTCCTGTGTTATGTTTGCCGCTTTGGGTTTTGACAAATCCTCGAAATAAACTCTTTGTTGAGGAATTCTTACATGTTTTTTGTAATAATTATGTACGCATTTATACAATCGCGTCGGTGATTTTATTTGTGAATATCAATAACAAACTCTTATATATACAATAGAACCAAATTGATTCGTAATCCTCATAACCGACAACTCTTTCGAAATTGTAAGCACTTTAATTGAGTTAGGAATCGAATAGGCTAACAGCAAACTGTTCGAAGTAACGTTGGGACATTTATGGAGAATGTATTCATATCACGAACTCAAAGCATCTACTCAATGATAAAACATGTCATTGTCGTTGCCAGCTAGAGCGATAGATTTGCACAGCGGTGTGGAATCGAGTATATCGCTTTAAACAGCATCGAATCGAATATGGAAAGCCAACCGACCGGAAGGTTGGCGAATGAGGTGATCTAGTTACCAGTATTCACTTCCACCCCGTCGCACCGGGTCCATATATCGAGACCAGCTTTCTCTAGCTCACTGGAGATCTATAACATGATATGCCATCATATGAAACGGCACTTCTATAGCTTAGCCATAGTCTTTGACAAACCCCTTATATCATGGAAGGTGTGAAAATCCAAATATTTTGTCGCAACATTTGGATTACGGTGATTAAAATTCAAAGCTAAGATAGATTATATTATTTTAAATTTTAAAAACATGGTCACTAACATTATAATTGTTAACGTGATTGTTACTATTTACCTTGTTTTTGTAATATCAAATATCGGAGACTCGTAAAAAACAAGGTACACATGGTAACAATTCCGGTTAGAACTATAAAATAGGTTATATAGGTATTAAATGTTTGGTTAGTGGTTCAAAATAAAAGAATCAGTGCAAGACAATTAATTATTATTAAAATATTGCTGTCGAATAGGAATATAATAATTATCAAAAATATAAAATGCGCTAACTACTGCACTGTGCTGCAAAAAATTAGAGACGTCATTTCGAACACATCAGTTTTAATTGCCATACACATCGTGCAGTGTCAACAAGATTATTATGTACACTTTGTATCATCTTTCGTTATTTTCGCTATTCACAAAGGAAAACCATCGTCTACTCTTAAATTAAGCTTTAATCCCTCAAGCAGGAATCCAAGAGAATTGTAAAAGATGTAGAGGTATTACATGTTTAGTTTGATCCTCTTTTAAAAACCAGTTCCCATGAAATCCTTTCTAAGTCCTTTAAGCTGAGAATTTTTGTTTATTTAAGTGCATTTGTAATGTAGTAATAAATAAAACTAGTTTTAACAGGTTAATGCACGAACTTTATTTATTTATTGACGTTTCGCAGCCTTTTCAGGTCTGCATCGTCAGAATAATGATTTTTTATTTACTTTGTCGAGCTACCTTCGATTTTGCGTTCGGATATTTCATTGGAATATTTTTAAAACTTTATTCTCTATGTATGAATTTATCAGTTACTTTAGTAAATAAAGTACTTTATTTAAAATTCTTTTTTGTAATTTTGAGTTTATTTATTTGACCCAAACTACCGTAAACTACCACCGGCACCGACTCCAAAATTGGGAGACTTTTCTGAGAAGAACCGACGAAACAAACTCAGAAAGGCTTTCTATCTCCTTCTTATGTTAAATTATGCATACAAAAAGAACTAATAGTATCTGTTGGTCTTGCTAATATGTAGTAATAACATTATATTACATTACATCATCAACCCAAGCTCATCCACTGCTGGACATAGGTCTCCCCTAATGCACGCCACTGCTCCCGATTTTCTGCCACTCTCATCCAGCCCACCCCAGCCAGCCTACGAATATCATCATTCCACCTTGTCTCAAGGCGTCCTACACTACGTTTACCGAGGCGTGGTCCCCACTCAAGAACTTTCCGGCTCCAACGGCCATCAGTTCTGCGGCTAATGTGACCAGCCTCTTCAGTTTGCCACTTCAGTTTGCTAATTCGGTGGGCTATGTCGGTGACTTTGGTTCTATGTCGGATTACATCATTTCTGATGCGGTCAGGGATACTCCGAGCATAGCCCTTTCCATAGCTCTCTGAGCGACTTTAAACTGGTGGACTCGTCCAGCCGTGAGTGTCCACGTCTCGGCGCCGTATGTCATGGCTGGGAGGACGCACTGGTCGAAGACTTTCGACTTGAGACATTGAGGGATGGATGACGAGAAGACTTAACGAAGCTTACGAAATGCTGCCCAGCCCAATTGAATTCTTGTATTGGCTTCTCTCTCGAAGTTGTTTCTGCCTAATCGGAGCGTTTGCCCTAGATAGACTTATTCCTGAACAACCTCGAGAGGTACTCCTTTAACAGCAACCAGTCCCGGATCAACGAGCTCGTTGAACGTGACCTTGGTTTTATCCAAGTTCATTTGGAGAAAGATGCGTTTGGAAGATTCAGCCAGGCTGCTCACCATCTCCTGTAGGTCCTGCAGGGTTATAGCCAAGATGACGATGTCTTCCGCGAATCGAAGGTGTGAGATGTATTCGCCATTAATATTGATTCCGCGTCTTTTCCAGTTTAGCGTTCCGAACATGTCCTGCAGCGCAGCGGAGAAGAGTTTCGGGGATATTACATCCCTTTGTCTTACACCACGGCGCAGCAGGACAGGCTTAGTCCGGCCATTCTGGAGTACGACGGACATATTAGCGGCATCATACAGACATCTCAGCACCTCGATATATCGCCAATCAACTTGGCACCTCTGCAAGGCCTCAAAAACAGACCAGGTCTCGACGGAGTCAAAAGCTTTCTCAGAGTCCACAAACGCCATGCACAGGGGCTGGTTATACACTTTGGTCTTCTGTATAACCTGCCTCACTGTGTGAATGTGGTCTATGGTGCCATCACCCCGTCGGAACCCGGCCTGCTCTGCAGGTTGAGCTTCGTCAAGTCTTCGTGCTAGGCGATTCGAGATGACTTTTGAAAACAACTTATAGACATGGCTCAGGAGTGAAATTGGTCGATAATTCTTCAGCCAGGTCTTGTCGCCTTTCTTGAAGAACAATACGCCCAAGCTCCGGTGCCACGCCCTTGGAGTTCTCCCGGAGAAGAGAACAGAGTTAAATATACGCCGGAGCTCCTTCCGCACCGGTTTGC